AGACTGCTATGTGCTGATACGTCCATTCGTGTCAGGCTCTTGTTTATTTGCCTTCATGCCAGGTATGTGGGCTGTTCAAAGGTCGTACTCCTTTCCTTGGTTGTGTAACCCAACAAAGATATGACAAAGCACTGCTACAATGTGTGTAACAAGGTAATTACGCATGCTTTTGGACGTGAGCATATGTTAGGTTTCCATGAGGTACCCTTCCATTGCAAGAGAGAACCTACCAGAAGGGCCCAAAGGGTGCCAAGGATATGCCCCGATAGTACCATGAGGTTGTTTGGGAAACAAAACGGACAACCACCAACTTGGTCTCCCTTTCAAGCGACACCCATCGTTTCACCGTCTTTGGTTCTTTATGCATCGCTTTTGGAATGACAGTGGGCATGAGTTTTCAATTGCGGACCCTTTGGACATCATTCAGGCTGGGATGCATGTCGGAAACCGCTTTCGAGGCGGTTCCCTACGAACAAACAGAAAAACTGGTAGCCAAGACACTCCGGATGCTACTTCCCGCCAGGCCACCTTCCAGCAGCTCCTGGGGGACGGCATCCTGGCGCTGGCTATGGCTGCAGCCACACTGTACCTGTCCTTGGGCATCTTGGGAAGAATCCACGCGTCCAGTTTTTCCGTGTTCAGAACCCAAAACCGTGCTGTCCAAAACGTAGTGGTTGGGGAGGCTGGTCTATGTTTGTTGAGGTAACACAAACGGCAAGCGTCAGACTTCAAGGCTTAAATCAAGTAAGCGGGTTCTGAGCAAGAGGGAGCCCAGGATTCACCCGATGAATAGTGGGGTCGTCCCATTCTAGATCCGGAGCCCTGGCAAAGTTGCACCCCGAAAACCTGCCTGCTTAAGTCAAAAGATGCGGCCAACATGACGAGGGCCCAACATGTCGGCCAGCCCAATTCGCTCGGAGGTATGCACACCGGCTATCGGATCACCTCCACTGACAGCGGCGCCTCGTCTTTGCTCAGGTCACCAAGAAAACAAAGCCGATGGGCACGCGACGTCGGAGAGGGGCGCCACATTTGCTTACAAGTTCATTATAATACATGCATATATATATATATTTATATATGTATATGCACGTGTTTTTAAAGGGGGGTTGACCTTGTTTGGGTTGGTTTGAAGGGAACCACACATTTTGGGGGTCTTCTATTTTGAGATAGCCCCATATTATGTCGCCGCGAGGAAGCCCAATGAGTGCTGTTTTGTTTATACATAAAACCCAGAACCTCGATGTGACACCCCGGGATTGAGCTCTAGCCTTTGCATGGGGGGATACACGCGAAATGTGTTGTTTTCTCTTGCTTTGAAACTTCAAAATACCCCCGTATTGGTGCTCCGAGCCATTCCGGTAAGATGATCACACCACAAGGGTAGATGCCTGGTAAAACATGTTCTTTGGTTTCCCGTTGCCAGGGGCCATGTTTGTACCTGGAGCGTTCCTTCGATACCTAAATTTCTGCCGTAGCCCAAACATATTGCAAAACCAAGGGTCGTCACACAAATATGGTAAACGTACACTGTTGCTTGCTTCGAGCGTTTTTGCCAAAAGCGGGCTGACCGGTCCTCCAAGATAATCGGTCGGCAGGAATCGAAGTGCAAAACAAGCGCAAATTTCCGCAACATGAGCGCAAATACAGTATCCGCAAACGAGTGCAAAACAAAAAGAAAACGCGTAGCAATTGCCCGCCTTCCTCCGGATGGAAGAAGGGGATTTCATCGAGCATTTTCTCGGGAGCTAGCGGTTTTGGGGGGGTCGAGCAGAAATCAGCAATTCGAGTTTTTTGTTGTTTTTTTGTTTGTTTACCTAAAAATATGGCACGTTGAATGCTTCAGGTATGTTTTTTTTTCTCCCCCCCCTGTTTGGCCTTATTTGGGCGTTTGCCGTCATTAGGCTCATGAAGCGAACGGCCTGAGGCCCAAATTAAGGCGCAAGAGCGGACCTCTTGGGATTTGGCCCCTGAACCGAGGGGGGCAACTCCCGTTCCAGTGTTTAAGGAAGCCTGCTAAAATCCCTGGCCAGTGTCCGTGTGTTTTGGTTTCTCGAACACAAATCCTTAGGTGAGAAGGGCCGGTGGCGCCTGTACCGCCTGGTTTGGGTGGAGTATGGCCTCCGGGGCCTCTTCGCCTCAGCCGGGCTTGCGGCCTTGCTCGTGCCTCGGGGCGCTTGGTTTGTGCCGTGTGGGTGCAGAGTTGGTACCCGTTTTTGTGTGGTTTTAAGTGGGACACCACAAGAATAACGTGGGAGTTGAGTGGGTTGCTCATTTTGACACACATACACACACCCATGCATGAAATCCCTTGTGTGCCATGCTTGGCAACACTTTCAGACACACTCATGCATGCACGTTAACCCTTCTATTCAACGTAACCCTTCTGTTCAATGCGAATCACCTAAACACCAGAATCTGAGTTGGGCTGCAGCAATGAGAATTCCACTAATCACTCTAGGTGCTTGATGTCTATCAGGTAAGGTTCACCAATTATAGCGAGCTTTGCTTTTCCCAAAGGACTCGGTAAAAGGAACGCCATGGTCCGAATGCCCAAAGGAAGCCTGAAGGGAACTGAGCGTTAGGTTCGCTAGGACAGGCGTGCCAGCTGAACGCAATTACTTTGCGCAAATTTGATGAGTATGTGTGCTGTGGTTGGTTTCATGATTGCATTTCTATACTAGTTGTTCCAGCTTGTTGTAGGTCGGAATGCGCAAACCGCTTAATTATTTTTTGGTTGACCTGAAACATGTGATGGCTTGTTGAGTTTTGCATGAGGTAGTTGGACCAACACATGTCCGCAATTGCTTGGCTGGGATGTGATTGAAGGTGCACAACATGTTTTGAGCCAAGCGATTTGCACACGAAGCAATAGACACAGAGAATGCAACGCACATCCACACTGAGGTTTCCATTTCCAACTAGCAACCGCGCCCCGCTGGTGTCATGCTCAGTGTTTAATCATCATGTTGCTCTTCTTAAGCATGGCTTGGGAAGGTATCCGTATCGTCTAGGTCTCGCCACACCGAATGAACGATTGCGTCGCCGGTCTCGCTTTGTGAGCCTCTGAGTTTGTTTGAGTCCCTCTTCTCTTTGGAGGGGGGGGGGGAGCACATTTGTTGCCTGACATAGTATGGCATTGGAGCACAAGTATCCTTCCGGAGTGATGCATGACATCATACTTCTTAGGCTTGCCAATTGTTCAAATAAAACCATCGTGTTGCAGGTGTTCAGCTGGACACACTGAACAGACCTTTCAACTCTTTGGAAGCTGATGGTTTCTCTAAGATTCAAATCCCTCCACCCTGCATCCATATTGATGCCTTATTTGCAGGAAACCAACAAGGAGTGGGTTGGATGGGGGGCGAGGTAGGATCCTATTCCAGTTTCACCAGCTCAGGTGTGGGTGCTGCAGAAGGGCTTGACCGAGTCCCTGCGCCCAATCTGAAAACAGAAAGACCTGCCGAAGACTCCCGCGGTTCCCCGGCGGTTCCGGTTTCGACACCGGGACCGGCCATTTTCTTGCGTTGCTCAAGGCCAAAGACTCTGCCTCATAGGTGTCCTGTTTAGATTAGTTTGGTTTGACATAGATGGAAGCCTACTGGTTCAGATGGGTTGTATTCCGCTTACCAGTGCCATCTATGTTTGTTCCAGTTTAGGTCACCGATGCTGAGGCTGGGCTACATCCGCGCTGATCTGCTGACGCCCTTTGCCATCGCCTCCATGGTGGCAGACTTCTTTGCGACTCGGATCTAAAGAAATTCCAGCGGTCAGTGGAGCTTAAGGTAAACGGGTTTGTCCTTTTTTTTGAGGGTACCCCTTTTTTGCTGGTTTGGCGTATGTCCTTTTTTTGGGGAGGGGTACCCCTTTTCTGGTTTTAAAGGGGCACCTCCATTTTTTTTGGGAGGGGGTCCCCGGAGTCCCCAAAAAAAGACACACCCCAACATTAAGATGGTTGACTCTCTTTCAGCTGGCAAGCAAACTTGTTGCAGGGGTCGAAGTCGGGCCCCAAGGATAGTCCCAACCAACAAGTTCTGAGATCCGGCCGTTTGAGTTTCACAGCGTTACATAGCTTTTGAGGTAGAGACCACCTTACCAGGTGTTCGAGTGTGACGCAGGTCCGGCTACCCCGATTCAGACGGAACTTTTTGTTGAAGGACCTAAAGTGAAGGCCTTCCCCTTTCAAACGAGCCAACATAGAAACCCCCCATTGTCAGCCCGCTTGAAAAACACAAATATATCAGAAACCATTCGGAAGGGTTGGCATAGCTATCACCATGACCCACATGAGCACCGGGCAATTTTACTGGGATATAGGTTGATGGGTATTGGTTTTGGGTAGGCCCCGTATTGGTTTTGAGTCCGTCTATTCACCCTCAGACTTACTGTCGACCCCGGATCAATCAAGAGAATGATATTAACCCCAAAAGAGAAGGAGCCCCTCTGCGGCAGACCCCCCCTACCATCTTTCAGATTTCGCAGGCGGATCGAGCAGTTCCCCACTTAAAACAGTCGATTCCACAAAGGGCTCGATTTCAGCGTGTCCTTTTTTGGGACCCCGCCAAGCTGGCGGGTTTCCTTTTGGCTTTCTTTTCAGCACAACCCACCAAAAAGGGGCTTCCTGTAAAAAAGACACCAATTTTTGTCTGCCTCAGGGTCACTGTTCAGGAACCCCTTACTGGGCGGTTTGGATTGGTTCGGGGATTTGGACCCCTCTTTTTGTAGCGGGTACATGGGAAACCACCCCTCCCCCCCCAAGGTCCAAGGCGCGGAAGCTGAGCACCTCGGCCCCAGGCGCGGAAGGCGCTGACGGCGGTGGCGGGCACCGACGCCATGGTCTCCGCCTTTGTGCAGACAGAGACGCTTCCGTGCGCGAAAGGGATGTGCCGCAAAACGGGTCTGTCTTAAAATTAGGGAACCCCAGACAGTGTGATTTCCCCTTTAAACCCAAGCCCCAAAAGGGTACCTTAAAAACAATGAGACCTGAGTAGGGTGAACTCCAAGTTCGTTTTCATGCTGGTTTCCCTTGAAGCAACATCCCCCAACAGTGCAAACTCAAAGCTTCCCTTTGGGCTCTTGAACGAGGAACTGGAGCCCTGCAAAGGCAGGATTCCAATTGCATTTCCCCTAGAACACGTTGTCAAACCATTATTTGTTGGGCCACATCAAAATGAAACTCCATCTGGCGCCGGAAGTTGGCAGGGCTAAGCTTCAAGTTGTGGTTTTGCAGCTTTGGTCTTTTGTTTTAGTTGGTGTTACAAAGAGTTTAATTAGCTGGTATTCCGGCACTGGTTCAATCCCGAACCTTATTGTCCACCTCCATTGCACCTTTGGTTCAACAGTTTCAGGTTTGGGGGTCGAACAGAACAAGGTTCCTGCACCATCCGGCTGAGGACATGGCGAATGCGCCAGGAGGCACTGCCTGAAACGAGAGGTTTGCAATTTGTTACGTATGGTCAGCTCGCTTTTGTGGTTGGTAGGGATGGTCGTGGTCCCCTTAGGGAATTTGAACATGATAAGGCCTCCAGTTGGAGCTATGACTATGGCCATGGCCCACATGAGTTTTGATGGGGCGCATAGACCGAGCAAGAAAGCAGTAGATTCATTATCCCCTGGTCGATTTTGGAGGTGTCTCCTTGATGTATGGTCTTTAGCCCGATTTGGATGGGCTGGGTTTTGGGATCCTTGAAATTCCATTTCGATTCCGCAAGCAAAATCCCAGGATTCTTGGCCTACCGCCACACTGCTTCGTGCAAAGGGAACAACTTGGACCCAGAAAGTCGGACAGAAATACTCCGATGTAGCTCAAATGTTGTTCGCTCCAACACCTTACAAATTGAGCCAATCTTAGGGCTGTATAGTGTGTATATATATATATTATATTATATATATATATACCTGATGTGGGTGCAATGGGTCCAAATTTCGCCCTAAAGGGGTTGTTTGATTTTGTGGGATAGGGGTGCATCGCATGGCCCTTGCAGTTTGCGGGATTCCTTTGTGGCTATACCTAGATGCAGGCGGTACGGACAGCAACAATCCTTACCTGTAAAGTTGGTAAAACTTGAAGCTGTTGCGCAGGTTTTGTCATGCGGAGGCCCAACAAGTATCGAGCCACCTCCTCAAACGCAGAAGAGAAGTTTCGAATCACGGCGAGCCTACAAGTGCCAGCATGTTCAAACCAGTTTGAACATCCCTGAGGTTTCCCTCTTACAACTGCTGAACCACTTCCCCTTGGCAAACTAGGCAGCATGCTCAAAGCACTGTTATGTTGGTGGTTCCCAGCCATCCGGTTTCCATGCAACCCACTAAAGTTAAACTTTTAGCAGGGGATCTGAGGACAGCCCTATGTGAAACATGTTTTTTCGGTTTCGTATGGCTGTGGCTCAAAACCAATGATACCATTTTGGGGAAGGTGCACCACCCATTTTAGTTTTTTTTGGTGGGGATTGGGATGGTCACTGAGGGTACGGGATGTTGACCCATGGCCATATGGGTGGATCGCAGAAACCAATTCTGCACAGAGCGTGAGGCAGAGACCAAAGGAGTCTTGGAGCTTCACAGCTTGGTGGAGGCGAAGGTGTACGAAGTTTCCAGCCTGGGCAAGGCAGGTGCGCTTTGTTCAGCGCCAAACGCTTTTTTTCTTAGTGCACTGGCTCCAGAAAGGATACAAATATAAAATATACATATATGATACATACATACATACATACATACATACATACATACATACATACATACATACATACATACATACATACATACATACATACATACATACATACATACATACATACATACATATATATGTATACATAGCATACGTAAACATGAAGTAGTACGCATGTGTGTGTATATATACATATATACACTATACACTATACACCATTATAATCACGCTCTTAGAACCCAAAGCCAGTGGGTTTCGGGGTCTGCTCCAGTGCGGCTGATTGATGGGATATGAGAAACCTCAAAACAGGCTTCGGTTTGCCGGTGCCCCTGAGCAACACCAGCAAGACCTCAACAAGACGTGCCCAAGTCAATTCCAAAAAACAAAGCCATGCTTGTTTTCGGTGGGGGGATTTATGGAGGGCAAGCGAAATCATCATGTGTCAGCATTAGATCATTGCCAGACTTAGCTTACCTGTTTAACGTTTTGCCTTTTTGGGTTTCCTGCATTGTGCCTTTCCATCAGCCACAAGTCAACTTTTGGCAGGGAGCGGATCAGTCTCGAACAGAGACGCCTGTGTGTGTCTTTTTTGCGGGTACCCCTTTCTTGTGGTGTTGAAGGACAACCAAAAGGACAGCCACCACTTTGGGTTTCCCCCAAAAACACACACACACCCACCCAACAGTGTTGCTTTTTTGGCTCAACATGAACATATAAGTCCCTTTTGGAACCCTTGATATTTCCGCGGGCTGAGGGCCCATGACGAAGGATTCCCGCCGTTGAGCCAAAACCGTTTCTGTGGTACCATATTCGCACGCCTGCAGGAATAGCACAAGCGGATTTGCTCAACCGGCCGCGTGAAGCGGCTGATAGATTGTCCTATGTTCTGCGAGTATGATGAAACGAAAGCTCGCAAAGGTGCCTCGCTTGTATTGCTCAATAAAAAATGGTGCAAGGGCAACACGGGCTCCCATTCTTTTTCTAGGGTCACCGGGCAACTGGGTTATGGGCAACTCCAAAGATGCATCTACTCGCAATGCATAGGCATGGCAGTGACCCGGCCACGCCTACACGAATTCTCGTGGGCCAAAGTTCTTGTGGCATGAATGCGAGTCTGTGACACTGACTCGAAACTCGACGGCAACCGGTTTAGACAAACATCACACGCAGTTTCTGATCTTTGTGTTTCTTCTTCGGATCCGCGGTGGAGTCGTCCGTGTTTGTTGGGAAGCATTTTCCTCGAGGTTCCAAACGGAACTGCTCGGCTCAGCGCTGGTTTCGGAAACCGACCAGCTAATGTATGCCCCTCCATGCTTCATAGGGGCAGGAAGATCTGCTTAAAGGATTGATGTGCCAAATACAGCGCCAGACGCACCGTCCGGCATGTCGAAGAGGGGTTCCAGAGTCGCACCCCCCCCCTCAAATTCGCAAATTGCATACTTGTACCATTTAGCCCATCCATAAGACTAATTCCAGGGGTACGACCTTGAGGGTGCAACTAAAAAGAAAGGGGTCCCTATTGTGAACACACACACAATCCTGTTTGCGCGACACGTGTTCAGACCAACGAGGGCTTTAGCAAAACTTATGGGTTTTAGTAAAGTCCACCTTCTGCAAGTGTGTGGGGAATCGCCGTGATGCTGTAGACATGGGGATTTGGATTCCCAAAAAGGGTTCAAACCAGAGCTTGCAGAGACACGCACAGCACAAGCATGAATCCTAATTATTAAAGCCTTCATTGAATCTGGTTTGCATCCCATGCAAAATCCACTTTGGTCTCACAGAAAGTGGTCCATTTGCCACCAAGAGCCTTCCAGCATGCAATGCTGCGAGCTCGAAGAGTCAGTTGAGAGGTGTTCTTTTCGGTTTGGCCAATGCATAGCTCGAATGGCAGAGTCAAACCCCGGGCACGCCGAGACTCCGCTTTTGGCTGTTGGAAGCCCTCCTAAACGTTGCGTCAGTGGAGTCGAGCGCAAACGTGAGACATGGCTCCACGTTTCTTTGGCGCAGTTTGCTCGGATGTTAGGACTTTAACTTTTTGCCAACTAATTGGTTTTCCATTAAACCACTAAAAGTTTTTTTTTGGCAGGGGAGCAGAAAGCAACTGAGGTTTTGTCTGGGTGTTGCAGGTTGAATATGGGTCTTGCGTGCGTCGGTTTGTTGTCTGCTCGTGTCATACCAGCTGCCTATTTCGCCGGGCAAGAAACGAGCTCACCATGTAGCTCTCGTACTTTGCGTCTCGTAGTTCAGGTGTTGCAACTTTGCAGAATCTGCAGATCCATGCAGATCCTTTATCTCAGTTACCCCAGTTCCCAAGTTTCCGGACTTGATATGTTTGTGGAAGATTGAACAATGGCAGTTAGCAAAGCCCGGAGACAAAGTTACGAGCCCGAATGTCCGTACAATTGGTATGTTTGCGCAAGAGAAGTCGGGAAATTGTTGCACCCTTGGACAACGAGGGGAGTGGCCAAACGCTTCCAGCCAGGCACATGTGTCTGTGCAGCGGGTGCGCGGAGACGATGAGGACCCAGATCCAGTACCACTCTTACAGGCGCGCATGCGCTTGGGTGGCTTGGGATTGGTTTAAATGGAAACCGAAAGGGAAATTATAGCCTCTTTGTTTTCTTTTTCCGGGTGTGGGGTGAAGAGAGAAACCAGTTTAATGTTTACAAGATAATGTTTCCACGCCCCCAAATCGCTGCGCCAGAGGGAAATGGGGCGTTCCCCTGTATACAAATATGTATATACATACATATATATATATATATATATAGTGATTCAATGGCACAGTGGTTGTGTATCCCATGTTCGAGCGGGGGTAGTTGTTTGGTGGCGGAAATCCTGGTGGGTTCTGGTTGTTTGAGTCAAGTTCTTGCACCAAAAGCCCGGAAAAAACAACCAACCCTGGCGGTGATTAATCATGGGCCCTCAGTAGAGGTGGTTAACCAAACGAGGATTTTGTCAGAAGTCCTATGTGGGCCAAGACTCTTGACAGAAAATAAGGCTCGGCAAATACCAAAGAAGGGAAACCTTTTGACGGCAAACCGACCATTCCCGACAAAGCCCAAAAAGGGGCGCTTTAGCCAATGAGGGAGACGACAAACCACCGATGGTATCTTGTTTGGAGGTGGTGCAGGGTGTCTTTCAGCTCTCTTTTTTTGTGAAGTCGGAACATATCCCACTTGGAGATGAGCTCGCAGATTCACATAGAACTCATAAAGGGGGTCCAATCCCAAAAGGCGACTCCTCCAAAGGCTGATGTTGCTTTTGGGGTTATGTTTATTTGCAGGGAACTATGCCTTAACATAGAATGACCATGTAAAAAAGGGACAACTTTGCCAGCCTACGGGAAAAGCTATCATGAATCATTCAAAGGCCAGACATATTGATCACCATTTTCTCACTTGAGGAACCACCCCCTGCGGAGTCTAGCATATTCAACATGTTCCCTTTTGTGGTTTTAAACATCACATCTTTGTTTGGCCCAATCAAGGTGAGAAGAGTTGATTGTCTTAGAGGCGAAATATGGGGAGGTCTACTGGAGTTGCAGGTGCCCCATCTGCCGCGAGCGCGTGTCCAGCTTGCTGCAGAAGCGGGGGGACCCGAGCTGACCGCCCTGAGCTCAGGATGTGTTTTGTGTCCTCCTGTGGTTCTATCTGGTTTTATGCATAATCTTGATTATCTGGTGGCTCCTCTGGTTTGCTCTTATTGTTTGGTGGTTTCATGGTGGTTTCTAGGACAATATGTTTTTTTGGTTGGGGGGTGCGGATTTTCCTTTCATGATGGTTTCTGCTAGCTGGTTTCTGGTTTCAGATCTCGACGAATATATTTTTAACCATCGTACGTGGCACCGCTCGGCGTCTCGCTGTGACCTCGACGGATCTTTTTGGCTTCAGCCTCTTTGGTGTTCCTTCATATTCTCGTTCCACCAACACCACTTGTTTACTTGTACTTGTGCGAGGTCTAAGTCAAGTCCTTGACCCCTCAGACTTTCATGTGGGGGGCAGTGTTCCACCCATTTGCCGAGTCTGGTCTTCGTCACAAGCCGGTGAAAACCTGGGCTCCCTGGGCTCCAAATCTTCGCGACTGACTCCTCAATCCACTCAGGAAATCAGCCGCGCTCACGCGCCGGCGTGTGTGTGGCGAGCCGAGAGCCTGCAGCCTTCCCGGAGACTTCAAGCTTTGTCGCTGCCTTATCACTTTATCCGTGGATGTCATCCACTGTGGCCGGTTTGTTCGGGAGGATCATAGGACGCCGTCAATTCCGGAGATGCTGCACAAAGTCTCCAAGTTCCCATTGGATTGTTTAGTTAGGTTGCTCCGACCCTTAAGATGACCAAACTGTAATTAACTGAACAAATCACAAAGGTTTCCAACTTGACCTCCTTTTCAGGACTCATACTCTCGCATTTCTGCTGTTGTGAGGGGTTTTGGAGCACTGCTTTACTTCGGTTTTGGTTTGCGTCGGACGGCAAGCCACTCCTTTTCCTGCGTGTCCACTGGCGTTTCACCAGCGATGCCTCAGAGAAGTAAAGAGCGGATGAAAATGAAACCGAGTCACTTGCTTCGAGACCTCCAGTGGTGCCCTTGCTGCACCACGGCTTTAGTTGAGAGCAACCGCTTGGCTTTCAGTGCTCAAAGGCCCCTCAAGGGCCAGTCTTATAGGGCCATAGGCCATAGGGCCATAGGGCCATGCCAGACATTGCGGAAGGCAGGCCAGCGTTGAGGGCGGCAGGGTTTGTGGGATGCACCTTCACCACTCGCAAATGTGGGTTTGTCGTTTGTTATAAGGAAACCACACTTTGGGCGGGGGGAGGACAATTATTTTAGGTATCCTGGCCATGTCTCCAGTGAAGGATGGGGGTTGCAAGCACATGCACGGATCTTCTTATCGACATGCGTGCACGCCGCAAGTACGTGCATGTTGCGAAGTCGGGAGCGGTGATCATTGAAGTTGATTTTAGTCCTGTATGGTGATCAAGGTGTGCGCGAGCATAAATCTCGCCCCTCCTTGGATCAGTCCTATGGACACGAAGCTCCTTGTGGGTGCTTTTTGAAGTGGAACCAGAGGGGAAGCAAGCCACACAGCTTCATGTTGTGAGACTGTCAGGGGTCCCAGGAGGCCGCAACAAGTTGGAGTTCAGCGGCTACTGAGTGGAGATAGCAAGCAAAAAAGCAACCAAGAAAGTAAGACAGGACGCAAGGAAGAATCAAGCAAGCAAAGAAGGAAAAAAGAAGTGAAAATGGACACGAGGAAGCACGCAAGCCGCTAAGAAAGCACGCAATCAAGCAAGCAAGCAAGCAAGCAAGCAAGCCCTCAAGCAAAGAGGCCAGTGACGAGGCACACAGGAAAGCAAGCAGGCAAGCAAGCAAACCAGCAAGCAAGAAGGAACACATGGAAGCAATGAGTCAATCAATCAATGAATCAATGAATGAATCAATGAATGACTGAATGAATGAATGAATGAATGAATGAATGAATGAATCCATCAATCAATCAATCAATCAATCAATCAATCAATCAATCAATCAATCAATCAATCAATCAATCAATCAATCAATCAATCAATCCATCAATCCATCAATCCATCAATCCATCAATCCATCAATCCATCAATCCATCAATCCATCAATCCATCAATCATTCAATCCATCAATCCATCAATCATTCAATCCATCAATCCATCAATCATTCAATCCATCAATCCATCAATCCATGAAATCCATCAACCCATCAATCCATCAGTCCATCAGTCCATCAGTCAATCACTCAATGAATGCATGAATCAGTGAACCAATCAATCGATCCATCAATGAATCAGGTAATCAA